TGGAGTAAAAAAAAAGGAAAGGAGAAAGACTAGGGAGGAGGACATATTTGAAGAAATAATGGCGATATTTTCCCATTTTGGTGAAAGACACACATTTTTAGATTCAAAAAGTTCAGAAAACTCTAAGATAAATACAAAGAAAATTAAAACTGCTGAAAACCAAAGTCAAAGAGAAAATCTTGAAAGCAGCAAAAAAAAATGACACATCACAAACGGAACAATGATTTCAGTAACTGCTTACCTCTCATCAGAAACAACGAAGGTCAGAAGACAGTGGGAGAATGTCTTTAAAGTGCTGAGAGGGAAAAAAAAAAATCCTCTCAACCTGAATTTTATACCCAGCAAAAGTCTCCTTCAAGAATGAAGGTGAAATAACATTTTCAGATAAGAGAAACCAAGATAAGTCATTGCCAGTAGATCTCACTACAAGAAATGCTAAAGGAAGTTCTTCAGACTGATAGAATATGATGCTAAGTAGAGACTTAGATCTTCAGGAAGGAACATAGAGCATTGGAAGTGGTAAATATCTGGTTAAATATAAGTGGCTATCTTTTTCTCTTAATTACAAAATACATGAATTTATAAAGCAGAAATCATTAAAAAATATATGAATTTATAAAGCAAAAATTAGAACAAGAGGGAGCATACTGTCACATTGTGGGGATTGCAACCAGTGTCACAAAACAATGTGTGTATAAACTTTTGAATGAGAAACTGAGCTGTCAACTTTCACCTAAAGCACAATATAGAGAAAAATTTATAACATTGTCTTATGGGGTTTATAACGTATGTAGTTGTAAAACAGAAGACAACTGTAACATAAAGACAGGCGAGGACTTTTTGGTGGCAAGATTTCTACATTTTATGTGAAGTGGTACAACATTCACTCTAAATGGACTGAAACGTTGAAGATGTACATTGGAATCCCTAGGGCAACCACACGTTATCAGGAGGGATCCGTCTCTGGAGAAGGACATCATCCTGGTAAAGTAGAAGGTCAACAAAAAAATAGAAAGTCCCTCAATGAGTGGGATTGATGTGATGGCTGCAGCAGGGGGCTCAAACATACCAATGGCGCAGGACCAGGCAGCATTTCGTCCTGTTATACGTAAGGTTGCTGTGAGTCAGATCCAGCTGGACGGCACCTGACGACAACAACGTAGCCAACGAATATGACTCACACAGAGAAACTGGTGGATGGGTCTCCCACAGGATGCTTTGCAGTAGCTGGACTTAGTGGAGACTTGAGTCGCCTGCTCAGCTTTGTTGTTGAGCACCTACCCTGGGGCACCTTTCTTCACTAAGAGAGACCAGCAACGATCCCACACAATGTCATGACCTCCTGAGGAAGACCCAGTCTTACCATCTTGTGAAAAACGCAACTAATGTCACTGAGCAGTTTGTGCAGAAATTATCAAACGGGAACCAAATTTGCTGTGTTTCACCAAAAACACAGCAAAATATTATTTTTAAAATTTAAAAAAAAGAACCCCGTCTACCATCCAGGAGACACCACAGGGATGGCAGAAGCGACTCTTTGGTGAATTAGAAGATGCCAGCCTTGCAGAAGCCACCAAGCCGTGGTTCGTCACTCTTTGAGGAACGTCCTGCAGGAAATGCTTCCCGGAAAAGCCTGAAGGAGACATCTTGAATGGTTAAACATTTTCAGATATGTCTCATAAAAGCTTCAGTTTAGCCTTACGCTGTGTTACTGTGAATGGCCTCCAAGGGTTGGGATAAATCTCATTGATTTGCTGTGGTGTTCATCTTAGAAGTGACAGTGGCACACGGGCTGGCCTCAGAAGAGGCACTGGAGACATGACGCCTGTAATTGTGTGTTCTGGTTTTTGTGTCCCCCATGTCCCCCCCTCCGCACCGACAGGGATCACGCGCCCACAATGCCGGACAGGCTGCTTAGGGCGCATCGACTCTCCCGGGCGCTTCGCATCCCTCCAGGCTGTGAAACATTTGCCTAGAGACATTTTCTTACTCTCCATTACATATGTTTTTATGAAAGGACTGAGCGGGGAGGAATTTGCAATGAATAATTCATGCATAATTGTTTTCAAAATAAAAAAAATTATTTTTCAAAGATAGAAACCAGTATATCCCCTTCAGAGGCTGCTTGCTGCTGTGTTTGCCTGTGTGTGCCTCAGCTTTCTGTCTAAACGTCCACCCCCGCCCCACCATCCCGGGCTGGGACAGGCTTCTCCGTAGGTCTGGGACAGGGCACACGTGCAGATGGCACACACTGTCAGAATTCCCAGTTGCGCTCTGCCTGCGCACATTGCCAGGCAGGCCTCAGGGACACACTTGGAATCTGACTCTGCTCACCCGGGCTCCCCAGGCAATGCCCCACACCTGCACACCCTCTCCTTTCCCTGTCTCCAGTCCGGCACCACAGTCTGGCAGCTTGTCTGCTGTCGGGCCCACACGCAAGGCAAGGCCAAGGCCTGACGGATCCCACCGGTGAAGGCACAACAAGCCACTTTAATGTTCACACAGTTTATTACTTACATGCACAGCAAAAAGAAGAAGCCAAAGGTGCTCGCTGCCTGGGTCCTAGTCCCACACACTAAGAACAACAGCCCCAGTACCCAGGAGCCAATGACTGCAGCGCCAGGTCTGGCATCCCCGTTGAGGAGCCACGTAGGCTGCAGCTCAGCGGAGTTACATTCTGCAGCTCTGTTCCTGGGGCGTGGAGCAGGAAGCCCCATGTCTCCCCAGAACCTAGGAGGCGATGAGAAACTCTCATGACAGCCTTGCAGGGGAGACGGAGGTGGTGGGAGGTGGCCTCATAGCAGCTCCTTAGAGGCTCCGATCCTTTCCGGGAATCACAAGGTGTTCTAGTAAGACCAGGTGAGCTGGGCTTCAAGCGTTTGCTTATGTGAATCCGCGCAAGGCTGCCAGGGTGCCACAGCCTGTATTACGTCCCACGGTGTCATTTCCTGGGGGCTCTGGTGGCGCAGTGGTTAAGTGTTCAACTGCTAACCGAAAGGTCAGCGGTTTGAATCCACCAACTGCTCCTTGGAAACCCTATGGAGCAGTTCTACTCTGTCCTGTAAGGTCACTGTGAGTCAGAATCGACTCGACGGCAGTGGGTAAATGGGTGTCGTTTCCTGGTGGCACAGTGGTTAAAGTGATCGACTGCTAACCAAAAGTTCAGCGGTTCAAAACCACCAGGGGCTTCTTGTGAGAAAGATGTGGCAGTCTGCATCTGTAGAGATTTACAGCCTCAGAAACTCAGTGGGGTCGCTATGAGGCCGAGTCGACTCGACAGTAGTGGGTTTTTGGTGTGTGTCATTTCCTACCCATCTCCACCACTCCAGTTCTTTGTCTGGCCCCCTATAACCTTATCCCAACAATGGAGTTCACCACAGTGGTTAGGAGTAAGAACCGGATAGAAACCCCAATTCTGTCACTCCCTGCTCATCAGACTGGGTGAGTCGCCTAAGCTCTCTAAGCCTCGGTTTCCACATCTTTAAAATGGGTTTAGTAATAATACTCATCTCAAGGGCTAATTGATGTAATGCCTGTAAAGGACTCAGCACAATGCCTGGCACATAAAACCCGCTGCCGTCAAGTCGATTCCGACTCATAGCAACCCTGCAGGACTGAGTAGAGCTTCCCCATAGGGTTTCCGAGACTGTAATCTTTACAGAAGCAGACCACCACATCTTTCTCCCTCGGAGCAGCTGGTGGGGTCGAACCACCAACCTTTCGGTTAACGGCTGAGTGCTTAACCACTGTGCCTTGCCTGGTACCTAATAGGCAACACGTATGACTGTGTGATGATGATGAAGATGCAGATGATGGTAATGGTGAAATAGATACTCCCCTACCGGGTGCCCTCTCCCCTCCCCCCGTTCAGTTTCTCCCGCCGAACGCGTGCTGTAGCTTTGGCCCCTCTGTTCCTCTGCTCTGTCACCTGCCCTGGCTTCCTGTGGCGTCAGACGCCTTGATGCATGTTAACAACGACTCCGTGTGCCCCATGGCCCGCCCCACACACTGTACACACTCTTTCTTCAACACCCATCTCCCAGCTCAACTCTTGAGAAAGCCCTGCCCCCCCCTCCTGGGTGGGTTCCATTGTGCTGGACAGCTTCGGCCCGTAGCTACGCAGACACATTTTGAACTGTGATTCTATGCCCTTTCCTTGAAGAAGAGCCCTGTTTTCTCATTTAAACTGTGAATTCTTTGAGAGCACCCCCCCACTCCGCAAAGCCTCCCTTCTGGGGGCAGCTCACCTCCGGGCAGGTCCTCACTCTGGGTTGTCGACTGACTGGCCATTGGCCAAGGGGTGGTGAGATCATCTGTCCCTTGAACAGCCCAGCCAATCAGCTTCTCTCAGGAAGGCATCTTCTAGAGGATTCTGCTTCACTCTTCGCAGTACAGGGAAGTGTGTTAGCTTAGTACCCCCTCCCCCTGCACACACACCCAAATAGAAACTGTAGACAGTAGGTCGTGTGTGTTTGAGTGAAGGGATCGTGAATAACTTCCAGTGAGTGGACTAGCATAAGGAGAGGAAAAAGGAGGGCCATAAATGTCCCCCCAACCCCTGTTTAAGTAGCTTGCAGTATAAACTGTAGATCATAATGAAGCTTTAATGGAAATTTTTGTGTATTCCCTCCCCAAAACCTCCTTACTCTATTTTGTCCGTGTTTTCTTGAATGTGTGTGTATATAAATCTAACTCACGAGACTTGAAAGCCGGTACAGTCACCACAACGCTGAATTTGCATATCTTGGATGGCCGGCCTTTGACAGGCTGGGCGCCCATCTGTCCCTTTGTCCACTCAGCAAACACAGCCTTGTGCTGGGGGCCAGGGATGCAGGACACTGGGCCCCGCCCTCGGGGTCTGTGGGCGGGGGGCAGACAAGTAACAATCAAGGGCTGGGCCTGGGGGTAGTGGTGGGTGGCTGCAGAGCAAGAGGGCCTGTGGGGCGCTGGCCAACGGGACAGCCTAACCGCCTCTCTGCCTCCCTCTCTTCCTTTGCCAGGTACTAGAAGCTAATGGGATGCCGATGGATGACCATGAGTACACTCTGCTGACCACAGAGATAGGATTTAGAAAAGAAGGGATGAGTTACCTTGATTTTGCAATGGGATTCAAAGGTAGCTAATCATCAAGTGTGAGTCTTTCCTGCAAAGGCCGCTCAGGTTGAAGCAGCAGAAGCCAAGAGGTGGAATGGCGTGCATTATGAGATTGGAAACAATTGTTTTTATTTCATTTTCTCGGGCTGTGTTTAGGTCTTCTGTTGGCGCTAAGTTAAACAGAACTGTGAGCGTGGAATTTGGCCTGATTTCGTTTTCTACAAACGTAGAGTACAACTGGTTCGTAACATTGACTCCAAAGCCTGCACTGCTTCAGTCACACCTCTTGTCCTTTGAGATTGTTCTCCTAAAAGTTAAAAAACGAAAACCACACCAGTTGCTGTTGAGTCAGTTCCGACTCATGGTGACCCCATTCGTGTCAGAGTGGAACTGTGCTCCCTAGGGTCTTCAGTGGCTGGTTTTTTTGGAAGTAGATCACCAGGCATTTTTTCCGAGGCACCTCTGGGTGGACTTGAACTGCCAGGTGTGGGTCTGGGCTAATGATTGTAAGGGGTCTCCGCTAGAGGGACTGACCGTGAGACTCCTCATTGCAAACCACGGAGGTGGGCCGGCCGTCCTGAAGGTCCTCTGCCCCCATCCCCCCTCACTTCCTAATTCCACAGCACGAGGTCAGGTAGTCATGAACAAAGACCCTGCAAGAAGCCCCAGCCGTACTTCAGATGAATTGACAGGATCTTGGTGTCTATGTTTTGACATTTTGAGGGGAAGGAAAAGGCAGCCACATTTATCTTAGTGAGTGTTCTAGGTGCGTGCACTTCTCAGGTGTGGATGTCAGGGTCACTCGCCCCAGACCCCAGAGCTGGTGAGTCAGGAGCAGAGCAGGAACTGACTCAGTGTCCATTGCCTGCCCAGCCCTGCTCTCCCGGCTGTTTCCTCTTCTTTCCCGTCCCTGCCCTCCCTCCCTGACCCGTCTCCTTCCTTGCTCCGGGTGGCCTGGCTGTCCTTCATCACCCTTCCCCACCCGCCCCCCAGCGCTGCCTCTTCTCCTAGCGAGGCCCCCAGCCCGCCCGGGCAGGGGCCAGTGGTGGGCAAGGTAGAGGGGCCACATGGGGCAGGAAGGAGCCTGAGTGGGGCAGGAGCACGCCACTGTGGGCCAGCTGTGGGGAGGTGGAGTGGGCCCGCACTTACCTTACAGAGTGCTTCCAGATGTATGTCCCTCACCCCAGCCCCTAGAGCTGGCTAGTGGGGTGCAGAGCAGGGAACGCGTGTGTCACATACATCAGGACTGGCTGTGGAGAGGGAACTATAGGGTGCTCTGGGGCACAGGGCAAGGGCCCTTTAGGGAGGACATCCTGGAGGAGGTGACTCCTGAAATGAATTCTAAACCTAAGCCTGTGCTGCCCAGAAAGAGAGGGGGCCTGGACGCCCTGTGCACCGTGTCTCCTGGAGACCCTGTCACTGGGGAGGAGGGGTTACAACCCGTGCAGAGAACCGTGTCTAAAGAGAAGTCCCCGGTGTATCACCTGGCTTTTAGGCGAGGCCACGCTCAGCTTATCCAGCCTGACAGAAATGGGTTGATTTTGGCACAGATTGCACTTCCCCCTGAGTTTTAGGGGAGAGGGCATAGTGCTGTCATCAACCTGGCGTCTGGGCTCTGACCGCCCTGGATTCAGCCCTGCTGCCCGTGAGCTCCAGAACCCTGGAGAAGTTGGGAGAATCCTCCGGGTCTCCTCGTATGTCAAATGGGTCCAATAATAGCCTTCCATGTGTGTATGCTGGCATTAGAAGAGTGTCTACTTCCTAGGGTTGTTGAAAGGACCAAAAGAGATGCGAAGACCCCTAAGTGGGGCAGTGGTTAAGTGGTTAAGTGAAAGGTCGGTGCTTGAAACCCACCAGCTGCTCTGTGGGAGAAAGATGAGGCAGTCTGCTTCCATAACGATCACAGCCTCAGAAACCCTAGGGTTCTACTCTGCACTGTAGGGTAGCTATGAGTTGGAATCAACTCAACAGCAATGGCTTTGTTTGTTTTTTTGTTAAACGTAATACCGAAGTCCCTGGGTGGTGCAAATGGTTAACACGCTTGGCTGTTAACCAAAAGTTTGGAAGTTTAAGTCTACCCAGAGTCACCTTGGAAGAAAGGCCTGGAGATCTACCTCCCCAAAATTCACCGACTGAAAACTCTGTGGAGGACAGTTCTACTCTGACGCACAGGAAGCTGTCATGGGTTGGAGTTGATTCAACGGCAGCTGCTGATACAGGCGTGATATCAGGCAGATAGTGGGTCAGAATATCTCTGCTGAATTAAGGAATGTGAAATGAATCCCACGTTTCTGTGTTTAGAAAGTGATTCTAGAACACAAAAAGAGACAGGAATTCTCCCTCTCTGCCTCTGGGAATCCAGAGCTGCCTGAGACATGGTCTCCACCCTCGAGGAAGGACAGAGAAGTAAGACAAGCAAACACTTGGGGGCGCTGTCGTGCGAGGTGTGCTGGGGTGAAAGTACGTCCTGAGAGTCTAGAGAATCCACTTCCTCTTTTAAAAACAGGAAAATTTCTAAGAAATCGGAGGAAAATAAACCAGAGTCTGACAAAGTTAAAGCTACATTCCGAGAGCAGCGTTTGAGTCGCAGGATTACATTCCCAGGTGGTATTTTAACAGGAAGAAATAAATGGTGCTGATGTAGAAATGCAGATATGACAAATGCAGGTCTTCTGACTGATGTCCTTGTTTTAGGTACAGAAATGAGTCGGGTAGAATCGACTGGAACTCTGACTCCAATTCTGACGAAAAGTTATGTGAATAGTCACTTTATAACCGCTGAAGAATGCCTGAAGCTCTTCCCCAGGAGACTGAAGGAGTCCTTCCGGGTAATTTGTGGCCTGGCATCTGCTCTCCTTACCTGGGCCTCACCTTCCCCTCCTAGGTCCCCTCCATTCCACCACATGGTATAGTCAGCCCAGGGTCGACAGAGAGAAAGGAAAACATGTGACTCAGCCTTGACCACAGACTGTGCAGCCTGCCCCTTCTCCCTCTGCCTGGATATGGTGTGCAGCCTGCCCCTTCTCCCCTTGTCTGGGGATGGGGTGTAACCTGCCCCTTCTCCCCCTGCCTGGGGGTGGGGTGCAGCCTGCCCCTTCTCCCCCTGGCTGGGGGTAGGGTACAGCTGTCCATTCTCTCCCTGCCTGGGGGTGGGGTACAGCTGCCTCTTCTCCCCCTGCCAGGTGGTGGGATACAGCTGCTCCTTCTCCCCCTGCCTGGGGGTGGGTACAGCTGCCTCTTCTCCCCCTGCCTGGGTGTGGCGTATAGCTGCCTCTTCTCCCCTTGCCTGGGGGGTGCAGCTGCCCCTTCTCCCTTTACCTGGAAGGTACAGTTTCCCCTTCTCCCCCTGCCTGGGGATGGGGTAAAGCTGCCTCTCCTCCCCTTGCCTGGGGGTGGGGTACAGGTTGCCCCTTCTCCCCTTGCCTGGGGGTACTTAAATTGGAGACCACCCCCCAGGTCTGTCCCTGTTGCCAGACTTTGCTGTGACTGCCTTCTGCCTCTCAAAGGCTCCGAGGGGTAAGGACACCCTCCTGACCAGGGAAATCAGGTGGGGAGGGGCCATGACAGCCAGTGTCCCCGTGAATTTCGGGTCCATTCCTCCATTCCCTTCCTTTGCACTCGCTCACTCACCAGCAAGCACCACATGCTCACTGTGTGCTAGACCCAAACCCACTGCTGTCAAGTTCGTTCCTACTCACAGGGACCCTGTAGGACAGAGCAGAACTGCCCCAGAGGGTTTCCAAGGCTGTAATCTTTACAGAAGCAGATGGCCACATCCCTCTCCCATGGATCTTCTGGTGGGTTCAAACCACCAAGCTTTTGGTTCTCAGATGAGCACTTAACCACTGTACCACCAGAGGTCCTCCTGTATGCTAGAACCATGCTAAATGCTGGGGATCCAAGATGCAGCCCAGCACCGATCCCCGTTTTACAGATGAGAAGACAGATGCATGGAGAAGTTAGGTACTTGCCCAGGGTCACACTGCTGGTTAGTGGCAGAGCTGGGATTTGAAGCTGAGCCGTCCGTCCCCAGAGTGTGCCTTTACTCACTATGCAGCACTGCCTCTCAGTCACAAGTTCCCTATGGGCTCTAAGCCTCAGTTTCCTCATCTGCAAAATGGAATCCCAAGCTGGCCTTGCGGTACGGTGCGTGAGGTAAACGCACTAGGCTCAGACACAACGGCAACAGGTTTGTCTGAGTCTTTGACACAGAACGCTGGCCTCTGGGTGGCCCGTGGGCATGCCACTGTGTACGCTGTCTGTCTTCCTGTCCACTGTAGACAGAAGTTGCCGAACATCATGAAATCTATGTAAACATATTCATTTCAATCAAGATTCTATAGCAAAATCCTGATCAAAAGGGGGAAAATGTAGAACAGAATTTCAAATTCTCACAGACTCCAGACTTTCTGGGGACTCCAGAGTTCCTGGAGACGTGGAGGGTGGATGAACTTCTGAAGCTGTTGCCCTGAGATAATCTTTAAACCTTAAACCAAAACTGTCCCCTGAAGTCTTCTTAAAACCAAACAGCAGTTTAGCTTAACTAGTAAAAAATGTCTACCTTGAGCATTATGCTCTTTTAAGAACTAGCTATATGGAATCAAATTGATAACAGCAACTCAAAAGGTTAGATAGGAACCTTAGGGGGCAGTGTGTTTATGTTAATGAAGGAGGAACAACTCGGAAAAGGAGGGTGAGAATGGTTGCACAACTCAAAGAATGTAATCAGTGTTACTTAACTGTACATGTAGAAATTGTTGAATTGGTATATGTTTTGCTATGTATATTCTCAATGACAACAACAAAATTTACAAAAAGGAAAAAATATCTATATAAAAATATTGAGAGCATGATGTTCCAGAAAACTCCAATACACACTCCTGTTCTTACTTCCAGTAGTGAAGATTTTATTACAAACTGGGAGAGTTGAAGGGAAAAGGAAAGCCTTTTTTTTGTGTGTCCCTTTGCCTGAACTCCTTGCTTTAATAGGGAGCTTGAGAACACAGAGTGTAATTTCTTGGGAAAAAGCAAAGCACAGCAAGGATATTCCTGGAGCAGAGAAACCCCCAAAAGCAACGGCTGAACCACTACGCAGCTGCCCCTTCCTCTCTTTGGTGCCGCGCCCCCGCCTGCCGGGTTGTGGGTGTGTCGCCCTCCAAGGCTCAGAAGGGAGGCAACATCTGACGTGCGGTTTTGTTTCCAGAGCCCCTACTCTGCCTTCTTTAAAATGGACACGGACAGGGACGGCATCATCAGCACACAGGACCTGCACCAGCTCCTGCTGCACCTCCTGTTCAATCTGAAGGACAAGGAGTTTGAGCGCTTCCTGGAGCTCCTTGGCTTAAAACTCAGCATCACCTTAAATTTCCGTGAGTTTCGGAATTTGTGGGAGAAGGGATCCTACAGAACCGATGACGCGCCTCAAAGACTCATCAGGTAAGAGGGCGGCGCGGTTCAGCACCTTTTATACACGCCAGCCTTCGCCACCCTAATTGCAGTGTTTCTACCGGGTCCGAGAAGGGAGACAGAGAACGGAGCTGCCCCCCAGGAGGACATGTCCTTCTCCTTGGCTTGAGAGAAGTCACACCAGGAATAGGGCGACCCAGTGTGTGTCAGCATAGAGCTGTGCTCCCCAGGGTTTTCAGGGGCTGATGTTTTGGAGGTAGATCACCAGCCCTTTCTTCTGAGGCACCTTTGAGCAGACTCAAACCTCCAGCCTTCTGGTTAGCAGCTGAGTGCATTAACTGTTTTCACCACCCAGGGATTCTGTAGAAAGGTTGGAAAATACACATATGGATTAGAAAATACAGCCATAATCTTATCACCTGTGAGCACCATGTTTATATTTCACTGGGCATCATTCCGCTCACTTTTCTGTGCGTGTAAGTTTATACATTGTTGCCCCATAGGGTTTCCAAGGAGCAGCTGGTGGATTCGAACTGCCGACCTTTTGGTGAGCAGCTGAGCTCTTAACCACTGCGGCACCAGGGCTCCATGTATTTACATTTTTTTTCTTTTTATAAATCTGGGTTCGAATGATATGCTTTTTACTCAGCTTTTGAGAACATAGCTTCTGAGACCTTTGCGTTGTAATGTACATGGGGCTTCAGCTCTTGAACGTGACGTCCGCTGCAGGCTGTCCACTGCAGTGCATGACCTCGGTCTGGTCAGTGCTTGTCAGGAGAAGACAGCACCTTTCTGCAGGCACCGTTGCTGCCTCCCTTCCCCTCCAGTTCTGTATCTAAGTGTAGATGTAAGTTTGGGGAACCACAGAACAGCTTATGACAGCTCATCCTACCAACTGCTTCCAGAGATGCAGGGACCCTCTTCCAGCCCCTCCCCAGGCAGGGCTCCTCCCCAGGCCCCTGGCCACCCCTGTTGGCCTCTCTCACTGTGGTCAGGAGAATCTCAGAGTCCAGTGTGCTGTCCCTGCTTGCTTCCTCCCCTTTGTCGCCGTAAGAGTGCACACTTATGAAGGCAGTGACTGGGCTTGATGCCCAGCGCAGTACCTGTCACACAGTGGCTCCATGTGGCAGTCACTGAATGCCCATGAGCATGATTGAAGTAGCCGCTGAGACCCTCCTTGACTAATTATTGTAGTATCTCATTAAAACGCTAACATGCGCTGTGATAATACAGAAGTGTGTTTTCGGATGTAGCATAATAGTAATATTCACTGTACTGTTTTGCCTTTGAGGCACTGGCAGCCAGAAGGGTCTCCAACAATCCCCTGTCCTACCCACACAGGGCAGCTCCCCTGGAGGGCAGCAAGCCCCCAGAAGCCACAGTCACGGGGCTAGACTGTCATGACGCGTGCCTGGCTGCAGAGGCCCTCTGATCTTGCCCTTTGATTTGTTTCCCCTTTTCACGTTTTTTGGGAAAGTAGGTTTAATTTTCATCTATACTAAAAAAAATAAGCAAACGACTCTGGTCTCTTCCTAAAAGAAATCATCACGGAACACATGAGTTGGACACTGTTTCCAGTTGCCCAGGTCTGAAGAGCTTTAATATGGGTCTGGATTGCTTGACATTAAAACAAAACAAAACAAATTCTTCCCAAAGACTTTTTTTCTGGAGAATGTATGCAGAAGGAACATGGAAAATTTCAAATGACAAGGCCCGGTCCTCCCATTCAAATGACTCAATCTTCTTATTTGTATTTCTTGGTTCATTCATCAAGTATTTACTAAGGGTCGACTCTGTGCTAGACATTGTCCTAGGATCAGGGGTTGCAGAGATGAGTAAGATTCAGACTCTCCCTTTGAGGAGCTCACAGTTGAGTATGACCCAGGCACAAAAAGAAATAACCCATTACCGTCGAGTCGATTCCGACTCATAGTGACCATAGAGGACAGAGTGGAACTGCTCCGTAGGGTTTCCAAGGAGCAGCTGGTGGATTTGAACTGCTGACCTTTTGGTTAGCTGCCTGAGCTCTTTGAAATAGAAGAATGACTAGTAAAGTATGTCTACTTTGAGCACCGTGCTCTTTCAAAGATTTATCTATGTGGGATGAAATTGGCAGCATCTTGAAACGCTAGATGAGAAACTTAGGGACAGTGACCGTATGTGGATGGTGGTGGAATAATTTGGAAAGGGATCACGAGAATGGTTGCACAATTTGAAGACTGTAATCAGCGTGACTGAGTTGTACATGTAGAATTTGTTGAAATGGTGTATCCTGTGCTGTGTATATTTTCACACACACAAAGATAAATAAAATAAAAAGCAACAGAAGGATGACTGAAGTGCCAAAGGAGGGTAGAGGGTCGGGGGCTCAGCTGTCTCAGATTCTCAGGCAATGTAGAGACATCCAAGCTGGGTCTTGAAGTGTGAATAGGATTTTATCAGGTGTAGGCTACAGGAAAGGCCATTCAGGGCCAGGGAATAGCATTTGCAAAAGCACAGAGGAGGAAAAGTGTCGAGCACATTCGGGAAATGGGAGAGGATAGTGTGCAGGAGCCATATGCCCAGGGGGCACGGTGGCCGGGAGGCCTGGAGTGGTAGGAGGCCCAGCTGTGCAGTTGCTCGAGTGCCCAACCGAGGAGTTCATCCTTTATCCGTAGACAGAGGGGTGAGGAGAACACAGCTGTGCTTTAGAAAGATCCTTCAGTAGCCCCAGAGTGGAGGGGGAACTGAAAAGGGGAGAGGGTGGAGGCCAGTGAGACCCGTCTTGGGCTCCAGGGGCCTTGGGGAAAGACAGCTTTGAGACCTAGACCGGGAGCTGCGTTAGAAAACCAAGCCCTCTCATGGGCCAGACCTTGTGCTTCATGAAGATGTACCCTTTAATATCTTTTAATAATTAATATTGTCTGATTTTACTGATGGAGGAGTTGAGGCTTAGGGAAGCGTTAGTGACTTGTCCAGAGAGACACAGGTGATGGATGGTGGGGCAGGGATTTGAACCCAGGTGCTTGCTGGGAGGGGTGGTCCTCTGCCTAGAGAACCTGTCTGCTTTCACCCTCCTCAGCCTCCTTCCTTCCAGCAAACAAACTTGGAAGCCATCCCTTCCTCAAAGCCTTCCTGCCCTCTCTATTGGGCCCCTCTGCCCTCTGGGCATTCACTTTGCTCTTGCATCATCAAAATGCAATACTTTTGAAAACTTTGAGGGCTCATAATTCTGTTGAAGAGAGGGCAGCCATCTTGTTTGCTTCATAACTGCAAAACATTTTCATTTTTAGATTTATAAATACCAATTAGAATAATGAGCCAATGACCTGTTTGATTTCTACATCATCTATTCCCTTCCAATCACCCTGTTAAAAACACACTTGCCTTGACCATTTACCCATTTAAAAACCATAATAAGTACATTTCAATGCATGAACATCATAAAAGATGAAAGAATTCTGTCCTGTCCTATGTCCTTTTAGCAAAATTAGATGGTCCAGGTTCTTGTCAGAAAATATTGCATGATCAAATCCTTCCTGTTGAATGACTAACTGAATGAAAATACCAGAGTTTCTTTATTCCCTTAAAAATATATCATTCACTCATCAATTTTTGAGGTTGAGAAAATTCATCTGGGATATTGCCATCTGAAGACTCATAGATTGAGATTTGGCTTATACAACCAATTTCACCATCATCATTGGAATCTAGAGTGTTGTTTTTTATCTGAATTAATCTTCTGATTCAATTAATAAGTGTGAAACAACTTCTGTCAATTTTCTTCCGTTTGCCATTTGGGCATAAAATAAGAATTCTGAATTTTCAACTGTTCAATGAAGGCTAAATTAGTCTGCAAATACGGCTTCACTGTCTTATTTTATAACTTCTTGAGAGATACTGTAATATTTTGGACAGTGCAATAAGAAAACTTAAGGATGGCTTAGGTTATTTATGTCAATATTTCATCATCCCGCTAGGTGATTCCATCTTATTTTTGTTTTATTACTTTAGTCTCTTTTTTTTTTTAGCATAGTTGGAAACAATTAATGAGTGATTAAGTATTTGTTAGGATAATGAAATAGATATAGTAAAATTAAGATCAAGATCACTAAGACTCCATAATGTATCCTAGATATATATGAAAGGAGCCAATGGACCCATATGGTAATTGCAAGATAGAATAAGTTTTATTCTATTAAGAAAATATTTTTTTTTCTCTGTTCCTTGGAGACCTCTAAGAAAGAATAAGTCATGAATACCAATCCTAGTTTCATTATTAGGTAATTCTGGCCTCATAAAATTAGTAAGGAAGTCTTCCTTCCTCTTTAATGTTCTGGATTGTATAGAATTGGTATTATTTTTTCCTTAATACTTGATAGAATTCAACAGTGAAACCATCAGGCTCTGGAGTTTTCCTTGTTGGAAGATTTTTAACTATAAACAAACAAACAAACAAACAAACAAAACAAAAAAAAACCCCAAACCCGTTGCCGTCGAGTTGATTACAACTCATGGCAACCCTATAGGACAGAGTAGAACTGCCCCATAGAGTTTCCAAGGAGCACTCAGCAGATTTGAACTGCTGACCTTTTTTGGTTAGCAGACGTAGCTCTTAACCACTGCACCACTGGGATTTCCTTTTTTTTTTTTTTTTTTAACTATAATTTCAGTTAATTTAATAGTTACAGGACCATTCATGTTTTCCATTTCTTCTTGACTCAGTTTTGGTAATTCTTGTCTTAGAAGAAATTCATTCATGGGAATAAAGTTGTTCATAGTATTTCTTCTTATTCTTTTATTGTCTGTGGGGACTTCAGTGATATCCCTTCCTTCATTCCTGATATTGATAATTGGTGTTTTCTCTTTTTATCTTGATCAGTTTAGCTAAAGGTTTATAAATTTTATTGATCTTTTCAAAGAGCCAACTTTTGGTTTCATTGATTTTTCTGTTTTCGGTTTCATTGATTTCTGCTCTTTATTATTTCCTTCTTTCTGATTGCTTTAAGTTTAGTTTGCTCTTTTTCTATTTTCTTAAGTTGGAAACTCAG